TATAGCATTAGAACTGAATTACAGCGGAGCTGTTCTCTATCCCATAGAGAATGGGCCCGTCAAATTGGTGAGAAATGGCAAAATGTTAATTTAGAGTCTTGTATTGTCCGAGAACAACAAGGGCTCATCTGTGAAAGCAATGCAATCATAGCTCAAGACATTTGTTCAGACACAGAGCAAAATATCTGTCATTTTGAAATTTGTCCTAACAAGACTTCTGAAACAGTCCTTACATACATAGGCAATAGATGTGCATGCTTAGAACTGCTTGTCATTTTGTATTTGTAGAAAACGTGGTAGGAGATACTAAAAATCTTTCAACTTTCTGTGCTTGTAACTTTACCAAAATTGCAGGGTGGGATTTCTCTTATGAAGCTCCAGTCACCTCTCACTACCCATTGCAATCCAACTACACACTGATTCACAAACTGATGCCTACTCCTATTGGGATGGATCTCACTTTGGTAAGACAACTGCTGCTCCATCGAGATTTAGTTGAAATCCTTGAGAAGATTGAGAAAAACGCACAGAAAGCCCTGGTGACTGTTCATCACAATGTGAGACAGATACCCCGTGTCATGGAAAGAGTGGAGAAAGATGCTGAGCACAGGGGGTGGGATACTCTTTTAGGTGGTCTCCTACTGCCACGGGTGTCCTGAGCAGTCTGTGTCATCCCATTGTTATCCTTTTGATACCAATTCTGCTTGGTTTTATTTTATCAGCAGTCCCATTCGTTATGAATTGGAGCATGAAACAGCTGACAAGATTGACGTCTATAGTTAATGCACACAACTTGGCTGATGTCCCATGCACTGTGAACATCCCCAAGCCTTTGACACAAGGCAATTATGAATGAAGCATATGTGTTTTGGAATAATCCTAATTTCCATTTGATTTTGTGGGAATTACTTTCGATTTTTAGTGAATTGTTTTAGAAAATAATTTTTTAAAGTTAATGCTTGTATTATGATTTGTTGATTGCTTTTGCTTTTGATTATTTGTGACTTGGTTTAACCATTTGAAAATTGTTATAAAAGTAACATTGTTCTAATTATTCAACCATTTGTGAAAATTGTTATGATAATTGTTGCAGTGTGTTTTGTTAAGTTATTAGGTTGGTTTGTTCCAATCCCCTTCTGTCTGAAAATGGTTCTGCCCCAGTTCTCCCTTCCCGCCTTTGGAGCTGTCTGTCTTCCTGGCTCCACCTCAGCCAACAATGTATCCCCTAAACTCCGCCCTGGTTTCCCTGGAAACCCTTGTATCTTTTCTTCTGATCCCTCCCCAGTACCCTGCCAATCACTCTCACTCCCCACCCTTACTGCTAGAATGTTCCAGCAGGGGAGTTCGATGGTTGGCTTAGGGACCGGGGCCCCTCCCCAGAATGTTTCCCGTTGGTGTTGCCCACGTGTCAATCCCTTGGACCCCACTCCCCACTGCACCCCCATTGGCCCAATGCCTGGCACCTCCCTTGTTCTCCCTACCCCTTAAAAACTTGCTGTCATCCCCTCCCCCCTGTCTTCTCCTGTCGGTCCCTCTGGGATTCATTAAAGCCTGGATTAAGCCACAGTTGGAGTCCACCGTCTTCTTTCCGCTGGTTGCAGCCTTTACTAGACTCCGTCCTGTAAAGGTGTGCCTACAGCTGCAAGCTGGGCACTGCCTTAGGCACTATCCCGAAGCCAGCTATCGGGAGAAGTGCCCCCTCGTGCTGCTAGCAGTGCTGGTAGCTAGCCGGACGCTGACAATCGAGTTGCACTGCTGCAGATAATCAATATTAATTATGTTTGTTTATTGTCTCCCTTTTTCCCCTCCTTTTCCTATCCTTTCTTTTCCTTCTCTCTTTCTCTGTTTCCTCTCTTTTTGTAGTCCCTATTTTTCCGGGTTATACTACCAACGTACGGCGAGTTCTGCAGACCCATCAGCGACACTCCAGAGTTCTGCTGATGAAGATCCCTCAAGACAATCGTGAGTCACGGGGTCGTGTGAGAGTCTGTCCGAATTTTCCCTCACCTGCCTCACGATCATCATTGGGGGACCACTGAAGAGAAGACCCCCCCTGTCTTAAATCTCTGGCTCCAAAGGAGAAAGTCATGTGCCTGAGACCTGAGAGCGTTGCCAAGCCATTGTTTCCACAGGTGTTGTTTGCTGTGTGCTGCACTGAGCCCAATGAGAAGAAGAAGGAAGCACCGTGCCCTTTGTGCAACAACAGCCTTGGGAGCTGTCCCACCTCTCGGCCTGGCTGGATTCTCCTGAGTTCTGGGTGGTCCCCCCACAGAAGACCCTCACCTGTTTTACAACCACCGTGACAGACAGACTGAGATGTAAGGAGCCTCTCCATCAAGGACTGAGACATGAAACCCCCATGTGAAAAGGCCCCTCTGCTCCTTCCAAGGACTGGCACTGAAACCCCCAGCCCGGGGCAGGTGTGTGGGGGAGGCAAGCTGACCAAAGCGAGATGTTTGCCTGCAGGTTGTGACCGCTGGACCAAGAACACAATGGCTCTCGTTTACTGCTGAGAGCATGGACTACCTGTTACATCTATTCCTTATTGTATCTGTTTCTCCCCCTCCCCAGAAATTTCCAATAGAGTTATCATAATAAAAACCTCTGAGTTAGCGAGAGACTTTGAGATCTCCCCGACATAACAGGCGGATCCTCGACTGGACTGGACCAAAGGACTTCGTCTCTACGTTTGGTAACTCTATCCCCCTCTTTCTCTCTCTCTTTTGTCTCTCTCTTCCTCTATCTTTTTCTCTCCCTTAATCCCTCTCTTGCATTTTGTGGGGTCATTCAATAAAGGTACATTTGTTTTGATGATCATTGCAAACCGCCTTGTACCGTGTCGGTTCTTTTTGCACCCTGAGATCAAATCCACGAACCATCACGAAACCCGTCCGTGAGGACGGATCATGACACCCCCCGAGGACTCCTCCCCAAATTCCTCCCCAAAGCCCCCCCAGCACCCCCAGACCCCGCGAAATCCCCCTCAAGTTCCCCCCCAGATCCTCCCCAAATGCCCCCCAAACGTCCTCAAGACCCCTCCCCAAATTCCCCTTACGACCCCTCCAGGACCCCTCACCTGTTCCTGCGCCTCCTCAGCAGCTCCCGGAGCCCCCCGTCCTCTCCCAGCGCCTCCCCCGCTCTCTCCAGCGCCTCCCGCAGGACCCGCCCGAGCCCGGGGCGGCTCCCGGGGGTCCCTGAGGGGGTCCCGGGGGGCGGCAGCGGGGAGGAGACGCCCACTCCATGCTCGGGCCCGGAGTCAGGGGGCGGCGCTTCAGGCTCGGCTCTGATTGGCTGGAGCGGGGCGGGGAGGGCGGGAGTTGCTGAGGAGAGAGACCCGGTGATTGGTTGGTTTCCTAGAAGGTGCGGTGATTGACAGGAAAGGGGTGGGGGAGGCGGGCTTTGGGGAGGGGAGGCGCGCAGTGATTCGTTGGATAGAGATAAAGAAGGCGGGCGTTGATGAGGAGAGACCCCCCGTGATTGGTTGGTTCAGCTCGAGAGAGGCGGGAATAGGCTGAGGAGAGACCTGCGGTGATTGGTTGGTTTAGGGCCGGGAGCGCCGCTATTGGCTGGGAAAAGTCCGGGATTTTTAGGGGAACATTCCCGGCTTTTTGGGGAAAAATTCTCAGATTTTTAAGGAAAAATTCCCGTTTTTTGCAGGAGAAACATTCCCGGATTTTTTGACCCCACATGAACCCAAATTACCCAAATAACCCCAAAACACTCGAAATGAACCCTAAACAAACCCCAAAACCCCCAAACAATACCTAGAAGTCCCACAAATAACCCCAAACAAAACCAAACAACCCAAAAAACCAAAAAAAAAAAGCCCAAATTCAACCCAAAAAACACCAAATGATTTCAAGTAAAACTAAAAAATCCCCATATACACCAACATAAACCCCAAGAACCCGAAATAATTCCAAATCAGCCCAAATAATCCCGAACAAACCCAAATACTTCCAAATAAACCCAAATAACCCCAAGTAAAAAGAAATAAACCAAAAAAACCCCAAGATAAACCCCAAATAGTCCATAAATAGCCGCAAATCAACCGCAAACAAACCCTAAATAAACCCAAAGAAACCCCAAGTAACCTCAGTTCCTCCTGTTTCCACCCCAAAACAGATCCCGACCAATCAAAAAGCGCGGCACTGATGACGATCCACTCGCTGGGCAGAAACTCAGAGCACTGGCCGCGCTCAGCGATTTTCAGCCAATCAGCGCCCGGCCCGACTCTGACTCATCAGTTGCCAGGCACAGACCAAGGCCTCTCATGCGTTAAATAATCGAAAACCGCGCGGGGTAATTTCCAGCCAATCAGAGCGTGTCTCGCTGATGACTCATCAGTTTCGAGGAGAGGAATTTGGGGAGGGGGGGAAGGTGAGTGACCCTGGGGATGGAGAGCGGACCCCAAAACAGAGCCCCCAAAACCAAACACGGGGGAGGGGATTGGGGGAACGATCGGAAAGTGGGGGGAGAGCAGGGAAAAGAGGGGGATGGAACCCCCAAATTAACCTGGGAGGTGTATGGGATCCCAAAACTGAGCTGGGAGGGGGATGGGACACCCCAAATTAAGCTGGGAAGGGAATGGACCCCCAAACAGGATAAAGCCAATTTTCTTCCTGGAGTATGTAAATGAGTTTATGGATATGCATGACAGTCTATGAATATGCAACAGGTTGATGTCATGGGAGACAAGGACCATTGAGCAAAGGTTGTTATGGCCACCAAGACCCCCCAGTTATTTTCGGGGACACCTCTTAATTAATCTGGTTTTAATTCCATCAGCCTGTGGCATATTCATAGACCCTCATGCATATCCAAAAACTAATTTACATATTTCAGGAACAATTTTACATGGTCCATTCTTGGGGGTGTCTCCCCATTTCAGGAGCCTCCACTGAAATGGAAAATGTAAACCCCCTCCCTTTGATTACTACTATTATTACTATTATTACTACTACTACTACTAATAATAATAATATTAATACTAATAATAATAAACTATAAAAATAATAATTTATTTTGAAATTAAGGGGCTCTCAGGAAAAGATATGGGAGTGGAAATAACAGCTCTTTATTACGAAAAATTAAAAATGCAAATGCAGTAGTATAAACAAAAAGATAACTGCGACAGAGTCAGAATCCACGAGGAATCCAGTGAAAAAGGTTGATCCTCTTGAAATCCCGTGGGACAAGGGCTGATCCTTTGGGGAATCCATTTCTTACCCCCAAAGACAGGGCAAAGGCAGGGCCATGGAGTTTTTACAGGGTATCCCAAGGGTGGAGTTGAGGTTTGGGTCAGGGGAGGAGTTCTCAGCAACGCAAGAAGGGTGAGATCAAATTCCTGCCTCTTAGCAACAGCAGCACTCCACACAGAACTGTCCCCAAATCCTAAATTCCCTCTAAAACAACTGAGAAATTACAGAACTTCAGATATATTCAATCAATTTCCTTAATTTAATCCAGTTTGGGGGTGTTTTTAAAGGATGAAGGTGAAGCAGAGGAAAATTAAGGCCAAACCAAAAGGAGAAGCAGCCAGGTGTGCTCCCAACATGGATCAGAGGGAATGTGAGTGACCAGGGCTGTGCCCAAAGTGCCTCCTCCAGTGGGGGATGGAGCTGGAGCAGCGCACGAAGCTCTGCCCCACTCGGGGCACTCGCAGGGCTCCCCTTACCGGTGCCTCCGTTGGTGTTTGGTCAAGTTAGAGCTGCTGGAGAAGCTCTTCCCACACTGGGGACACTCGTAGGGCCTCTCCCCTGTGTGGATGCGCCGGTGGGTGATGAGGGTGGGGTTGTGCTTGAATCCCTTCCCACAGTCAGGGCACTGGAAGGGCCTCTCCTCTCTATGAATCCAATAGTGCAGGAGGAGATGGGAGCTGGTCTGAAACCTCTTCCTGCATTTATCACACTCGTAGGGCCGTTCCCCAGTGTGGATGCGCCGGTGCCTGGCAAGGGTGGAGTTGTACTTGAATCCCTTCCCACAGTCGGGGCATTGGAAGGGCCTCTCCTCTGTGTGACTCTGATAGTGCTGGAGGAGATGGGAGCTGGTCTTAAACCTCTTCCCACACTTGGAACACTCATAGGGCCTCTCCCCAGTGTGGGTCATCTGGTGCGTGATCAGGTGGGAGCTCCGGCTGAAGCACATCCCACACTCGGAACACTTGTACGGCCTTTCTCCAGTGTGGATCCTCTGGTGGCTGATCAGGACGGAGCTGCACCTAAAGCTCTTCCCACACTCCCCACACTCGTAGGGCCTCTCCCCAGTGTGGGTCCTCTGGTGCATGATCAGGCTGGAGCTCTCTCTGAAGCTCTTCCCACACTCCCCACACTCATAGGGCCTCTCCCCAGTGTGGGTCCTCTGGTGCTTGATCAGGCTGGAGCTCTGGCTGAAGCTCTCCCCACACTCCCCACACTCATAGGGCCGTTCCCCAGTGTGGATCCTCTGGTGCTTGATCAGGTCGCAGTTCCACCTGAAGCTCTTCCCACACTCCACGCACCTGTGGGGCTTCTCCCCATCATGGAGCTGCTCATGGAGCACCAGCTCCGAGCTCTGGCTCCATCTCCGGCTGCCTTCCCGGCCCAGGCTGGCTCTTTCCCCCTCACATCCCCGCCATCTGCGTTTGCAGCCCCTCCTCGTGCGGCAGCTCCGGGGCTTTTCCTCCCCGTTGGCTTCCTGCGCCGTGGAGCCGCTCAAAACGGCCTCTGCCACCAGGTTCTGCTGCGGGCATTTGTCCTCCCTGCTCTCCATGCTCAGCTCCTGCTCTGGGGGAGGAAGGACAAGGACAGCATGGGATTTGCCTCCATGCCACAGGCAAGGGCAAGGAGATCCCCCCAGGGCTGAGCTGCAGCCAGGGGCCGTGCTGGGCTGGGAGATGGAGCAGCACAGAGGGGAAAGGGGCACTCATCGCCAGCTTGGGGCTGTGCACAAATCACAAACAGGACTGGGCTGCTAGGAACGTGTCCTGAGCTGTTTTATTTCCCAGCATCAGCCTCATTACTTGGTTATGACAATGGGAAGATGCCAGTAGCTCACATCACAGGTAGCAGACAAAGAACTTCATGTTCAAACTTACTTTAAAAGGTTTTTGACCAATCACGCAAAGCAAAGGCATACTGACAGTAGTTCTATCCAAGCACTATAAGCACATTGACGGTTAAAACAATGCTCCCTTATTTCAAATACAATACCTGCTTGTGAGCCTTAAAACACAACGCACAGAGCTCCATTATTAAGCTTGGAACTTCCTAATATCCTGCTAGATATACTTTTCTGCAGGTTAGGGAGTTATTCTAGATAAGTGTTAATGCACAGACCATTGTTCTATTTCTCCCTACTTTCTAATTCTTATATAATTTTTCTTCTAACCAATCTTATGGCTGCAGCAAAGCTCTAATCAGTTCTACTGTCTCTGAGGCTTGTCTTTTGCAGCTTTCCCAAAACCCTCTGATTTTAAGCATTCCAGAGACACTGACTTCCTCCTCACCTCCCTCAGTGTCCCAGGGCATCTTCCTCTTCCTCGCAGCCTCCCAGGAGTTGGCAATGGGAAATCCTAATGTGGGGAAAACAAGGGATGAGCACATTGAATTTGAAGGTCCCTCTGCCCGACTCCATCTCTACAAGTCACCGGCCATCTGGGCTCCAGAAAAACCTCCCAAACACCAAGATTCAGCCCTGAAAAAGCCTCCCAGGAGTTCCCCGTCTCTGGTCCCTCCACTCTCGAGTTCGGGGGTTCCCCCCTGTCCCAGCTGCTGGGGTCACGCTTGGATTGGGGGTCCCCCTTCTCCTCGGTGCCTGCCCTGCCCAGGCTGCTGGCAGTCCCAGCAATGCCAAAAGCTCCCCCCACTTCACTCTCCCCATTTCGGGATGCCGGGGCTCTTTGGGCTCCCGGGCTCCCTTCTCCCCTCATTCTCTGCTCTGGGCTGCAGCGGCTCCAAGGAGCCCCCCCTGCCCCTCTCCAGGCTCTTGAGGCTCCCGCCAATGGCGGCGCTCCCCCCTCTCTGGGCTCCCCACTTTGGGCTCCTGGGGCACACAGGGCTCTGCTCCTCCAGGCTGCCTCTGCCGGCAGCCGCCACCGCCACCCCCTGATGTCCCCCCAAGGGGCCTTTTCCACTCAGCCTTGGACTTCTTCATTCTCCAAACATCCCCCAAAAACCCAACCCAGGGACCCCCCGGGATATCCGGGCCGAGCTCCCCCTCCCCGCTCACCGGAGCCATGGGGGGGGCGATGATCCCACAGGTGGGGGCTGCGAATTCAGGCAGGGATCGACGGCCTGGCTCCCTCAGCTCAGCCTCCATCCGCCTATGTCCCTCCTCTTCCTCTTCCTCCTGCTCCTCCTCCTCCATTCCCCCTCCCTCCTCCTTCTGCTCTGTCTTATCTCCCCCTCCTTCTCCTCTTCCATCCCTCCCCTTCCATCCCTTCTCATCCTCCTCCTCCCTAACCCCATCTCCTCCTCCCCCTTCATCCCTGCCCTTCCCTGCCTCCTCCTCCTCCCCCAGCAGCAGCCACACCCTCGGTGCCCCGTTCCCGCAGCCCTCGCAGCCCGCGGCAGGAGCGGCGATGGAGCCGGGACAGGTCGGGATGGGCAGCGCGGGGCTCTCGGCTGCTCCCAGCCGCTGCGGGCGGGGGGAACCCGGCCCGGGCCAAAGGAGAGGCAAACTGGCCAAACTGGGGCCACATCACAAAGCTAAGGATGCAGCAGAAAATGGAGCTGAAAGAGTTATGTTAATATTAACTCCAAACGAGGAAAAACTGGAAATTCCAAAGGTTATGGAAGACGAGAAAAAAGAATCAAACAAGATAGGAAGTGAACAAGATAAATCAAGGAAATGGAAACTTCTTGATGGAAGACAATTACTTAATAAAATGGGCTTACTAGGAAAATATTAGAAGACATGCATCAGAAAACCCACTGGGGTACTCAAGCTTTGTGTGATCATTTTTTAAGGAACTATGGCTGCACTGGGATTTTTGGAGGAGCAAAGCAAGTTACTGAAAGATGCTTAAATTGCCAAAGGATAAATAAAAAGGTGATGAGAAAAACAACATTAGGAGGTCGTGAGGTAGCTTGTCGACCTTTTCAAAGTATCCAAGCAGAAGTTTAGATTTGTTAGGTTCTGGATTTATTTGTAAAAAAACCCGTTTAATCTAGAAGAAAGAGAACATGCCATAGGTTAGACAAGAGATTTTAGGAGAATAAAAATCTTTAAAGTATCAGCAACACCCGAGACAAAACAAGAAAAGAAAAAGGGGAAATGAAAGGGAGGGGAACAAGAATCAGAAAGAGAGTGGGATCCTCTGCAGCTCTTGCCCCCTCCGTTCGCGGCCGAGGCGCCTGTCCCGGGTCCCGGCTCGCTGCCCGCCTCAGCTCCGCCTGCCCCGGTTTCCATCCCAGGTGCGGGCTCACTGCCCAGGGCAGCTCCACCTGCCCCGGCGCTGGCGGTGAATTTGTGTGCCCTGCTCCCACTGCCCGGCCCGCGGCCGCTCTGCCGGCCATGCTGGGGAAGATGGGGGTTGCTCTGTCCTGCCGCGTGGGCCGAGGTCACCGCGCCGACCGCACCGAGGGCGGGTCCCAGCCATCCCATCCCCGGCTGCCCTGCCCGTGCCAGCTGCGCTGGGCACCGCCGCTGCTGCTGCCGGGGTCTCCCACCTGCCTTTTCTCTGCCGGGAGCTGCCGGATCAGCCGCCATAAGCCATGTGGGGGCTGCCCACGCTCCGGCTCGGTCTCCACGGGAAGATCCCCCTCTGGCGATTCCGGCAGCAGACCCTGCCCACACTCCCACCGAGCCTCGGCGGGATATCCTCCCCTGACCACATCCTGCTCTGAGTTACATCCCCTTGGTAACCACAGCTCCAGCTGTTCAGGGAAACTCTCTCTCTCTACAGGAAGCACCTTATTGAAACACTAGGAGCTCAGTTAAAAGGCAGCACTCTCCAAATTCTTTCCCAAAACACGGGAGAAAGGCTACAGAAGGTAAAAAAGTGAAAGAGTTAGATGAAGGGATTGCTCTATTGCCGTTAAGAGAGGTTCCCATGGCAGGGATGCGCTGCCCTGCCCCGCGGGAGCCACCAGCGCCCCTGCCGGCCGTGCCCGGAACTGCACCCAAGGGGAAAGCGCCGCAGCCGAAAGGCCGGGACTGGCTCCGGGCTCTGTTTGTTGGCACTGCCGGAGCTGGTGTTCTTTGTTTGCTTTATTTACACACTAGTAAAGAACTGGTATTCCTATTCCCATAGCTTTGCCTGAGAGCCCCTTGATTTCACTAGTCTAAAAATTAAGAGGGAGGGGCTTTGCATTCTCCATTCCAAGAGAGGCTTTTTCTGCCTTCCCAAGCAGACTCCTGTCTTGTAAAGCAAGACAAGCACCCACAGGCACTGAGGGGGGCTGCAGGAGGGGCAGAAGAAGGCCCTGCAGCACTTGGGCACAAAGGCCCAGCAGGTGAGTGCAAGAAGGGAGCAGCAAAAGGCCAAGCTGAAGGCAAAGGCCAGGGCAGAGTTCCTACAGCCCCTGAGGGATCAACCCCAGGGCCCAAGGGGGCCCCAGCACCCAGGGCACGGGCTCGGCCACAAGCACCCGGCAGAGGCATTGCCCTCCTCGGCAGGGGACAGCCCACCCAAACAGCCCCTGGCAAGGAATCAGGGCTCCAGCTGCAGGGCACAAGGACACTGCAAGCACAGACAGCAGCACCCTCAGGACCAGCAAGTCCACCCCTTGATGGACATGGATTGGCAGCGCTGTCACAGCTCCCATCACACCAGGGACCCTCTACACTGGAGCCCTTGAGAACATTCAGCTCGGTCTGCATTGAGAGGAGGCCTCTCCTGATGGACACAGGGGCCTCTCAATCCACTCTGAATCTTAGACCTAAGGGGGAAAAATGCTAAAAATATGTTTGATAAGTGAGGGGTTAACTGGGAAAGATGTATGGTTTTATTCAACCACTGTTAGCAGATTTCGGAGATGGATTTGAAATGAATGAATTTTATTTGCTCCAATTTGTTATCATGATTTACTGGGAAGGGATTTGATTGCTAAACTTGGAACACAAATTAATATTATAAAAGGTGATACAGAGGCCAGTTCTGTTGGACCTCTGTGTCAAATGTCTGGCCAGGCCTATGCTGAAGTGAACCCAGAAGTGTGGGCAGCCCCAGGGAAAGAGGGAAAATTAGATAAGGAGCCTCTCCAAAGTACTCTGAAGCCACCAGGACAAGTGGTGTCTAAAAGCAACAGCCTGTTCCAGGGGAGGGAAGGAAGGGGAATCAGACAAAGCGCAGGTCACCGCCCCATGCTCAGCTCAACCCAAGGAGCTCTGGGTGCTTGTAAGAGCCTGGCACTGAAATGCCCTGGGCAGGAAGGCTTCAAAATCTTCTGCTGACACCATGGCACCTAACAGGGGGGCAAAAGCAATTCTGACTGCTTCAGCAAGCACTGGATCAGAGATCAAAGGTAGATTCTCCCACAGGAAGCTGGGCTGGCACAGAGCCTGCCCTGGCACTTTGCTGTTGCCAACACCCAGCCAGGACATCGGCTCCTGCCTAAGGAGTGCAAAGCAGCACCACTGGTGGCCAAGGGGCCCATGCCAAGTGTCCCTGAGGCCAGAAACAGCCGCCAGCACAGCTGAACACGGGGGGACCCCTCAGCCTGGCCTCAGGGGCTCTGAAGCCCCGGAGATTTGCACTTCCCGCCTGCAGCAGGACCATGGCAGCCGCCCCTGAGCCTGCCCTGAAGGCAACGCAGCAGCAGCCAGGGCTCCACAGCGG